CCATCCATCCATCCATCCATCCATCATCCATCCATCATCCATCCATCCATCCATCCATCCATCCATCATCCATCCATCCATCATCCATCCATCCATCCATCCATCATCATCATCCATCCATCATCCATCCATCATCCATCCATCCATCCATCCATCCATCATCCATCCATCCATCCCTCTCCCATCCACCCACCTTACCCCAAACCCGAGCAAGTCCCAGCCAGGACCAGCACAAACCCCACACCAGCCCCACAGGCAGGACCAGACCTGGGGGACCCCACCTGCAGCACAGCCCCAGCCAAACTCCACAGAGGCTGAAAGATTTGGGAACAATCTCCAGGTGTTCCTGGTGCACAGGGGGTACTTGGGACATTGGGATATTGTTCCCGAAGAAGCCCCCTCACCACTCCATTCCCATGGTGCTGACATAGCTCTCTCCCGGCTGCAGCCCCGACGGTTTGAGGTCAGGCTCGCGCCATAAATCTTGGGAGCAGTCAGGGTTTATTTGGATTTAGTAGTGCTTGGATCGTTAATGCTCTGTGTGCCCCCGGCCGTGCCTGGCTCCACCTCCCCGGGAATGAGGGACTGCTCCTCTCCTGGGGCTGCTCCCTCCAGGAATGAGGGGCTGCTCCTGGGGCTGCCCCCCAGGAAAAAGGAGCTGCTCCCTCCAGGAATGAGGGGCTGCTTCTGGGGCTGCCCCCCAGGAAAAAGGAGCTGCTCCCTCCAGGAATGAGGGGCTGCTCCTGGGGCTGCCCCCCAGGAAAAAGGAGCTGCTCCCTCCAGAAATGAGGGGCTGCTCCTGGGGCTGCTCCCCTCGGGAATAAGGAACTGCTTCCCCCAGGGGTGAGAGCCTGCTTCCCCTGGGAATGAGGGGCTGTTCCCCCAGGAACAAGGGGCTGTTCCCCTGGCCTGACCGGGGTGGGGAGGAGGGAAGGCAGAGTTTGCCAGTCCAGGAAACCACAAATCACTCAGGACAGCAGCTCCCACCTCCCAACCTGGGGCTGCCTCCCCATCCATCCCAGCCCCCATTCCCAATCCATCACAGCCCCCATTCCCAATCCATCCCAGCCCCCAGTCCCAATCCATCCCAGCCCCCAGTCCCAATCCATCCCAGCCCCCTCCCCATCCATCACAGCCCCCATTCCCAATTCAGCACAGCCCCCATTCCCAATCCGTCTCAGCCCTAAGCCAAGCCACAGCTGCCTGGATTTGTCCCAAAACAGAAACTTCCTCCAGACTTTATCCCTGCCCCAGCAGGCTCCGTGTGGTCAGACCATGGCTGGAGGGACCCTCGGATGTCCAGATCCATCCTGCAGCCCCTGATCCCCTGGATGGTGGCAGGGAGGGAGGGGGCTGCTGCTCCAGAGAGAAAACCTTTCCCAGGGCACGGATCCCGTGCCAGCCGGGGGCTGGGGGTGCCACACCAGCCATGTCCCCATCTGCCATGGCTGGGATAAGGGACAGGCTTGCAGCATTCCAGGTGCTCCCAGCAGCCCTCGCCAGGTGCTCAATCCAAAACTGGGCCAGGCAGAGAGTTCCCTGGGGCAGGGAGGAAATTCCAGTAATCCCAGCACGCTGCTGGCCCTGCCTCTGTTCCCCCTGTCACCGCTGTCACCCCTTGCCCTGGTGGCACCAGGATGCTGTTTATTAGCCAGCTCCAGCCAAGGGCCAGCAGCTCCCATCCCCGCAATTCCAACCGCCCAGCTGACGGCTCTTGGCAAGGGTTCCTTCCCCAGCTCAGCGCTGCCTCATTAGGGAAATTAACCCCGGGATCACGGCAGAGCTGCTGGAGGCGGCGGGATGAGGCTGGGCTGGGGGCCTGCCTCACTTCTGGATAAGGAGTGGGAAGGTTTCCGTGTGCCCAGGGAGGAGCTGGCTGTGCCCAGGACTGTCCTGCCGCCAGGGAACTGCTCCTGGCACATCCCTGAGTCCCATGAGGGACGGGGGGACTGGCGCAGCCCGGCCAGGACCCGGCTCTGGCATCGCCCAGACCCCCAAGAATGGCCCTGTTCCCATCCCGCAGGGACCCAAAGGTCGCAGCTCTGCTGCTATAAAAACAAGCCCTGATGAAGAGCAGACTCCAGGGCAGGGCCAGAAAGTCACATTTCACTGAACGCTCCCTCATTGTGCTCTAAATGACCCCAAATACGCGCCAGACACAAAGGGCTTGGATCTCAGCAGTGACACGGGCTGTCACAGGCAGTGACATCGAGCTCGGATAAGAAGCACATCCCCCACCTCATCCCAGAGGATCCTTTTCCACCTGAAAAGGGGGATGGGCAGGTGATGATTCCCACCCGGACACTCCCTGCCCCCTTCCATGCCTCCAGCCTGGCTGGGCTGCCAGGGAACAGCAGCCAAGGGGCCCCGACAGCACAAATCCCACCCAAATCCCACACTGAGAGCCTTGGAAAGCCAGGGAGGGCTCGGAGCCCCTGGCCTGGCAGCATCCGAGCTGAGCAGGGGGTCAGGGAGGCTTCAGCCCCTCTCCATGTCACCACCCAGCATGGCCAGTGTCACCCCCTCCCTCTCCTCTCCCCTTGGCAGCCGGGGTGACACCATTTTACAGGTGAGAAAGGTAAATCTGGGGTAAAGGGTCTCACTCAGCCCCCCCAGGAGCAGATCTTCAGGGGATTTGGGGGCTTAAAAAATGCAGGGCACAGAAGGGACCCTCCAGTCACCTTCATGGTACAAAGACAGCCCTGCAGAACCCTCTGCAGCTCTGACACATCCCGGAGGACAGGGAGTGCCTGGTTTGGAGTTTCCTCAATCCC